CACCCAGGTGACATCCCAGCCATGCCAGCAGGTCCCTCACCTCCCTCCTGAACTCCTCCAGGCTCTGCTCGCTGATGTTGTTGCTGACAGCGATGGGGATGGTCCCAAACCAGGGCACCTGGAAGCTGGAAGGATTTGGGAGGATCCATGGATCTACCCGCAGTACCCAGAGCCGTGAGGGCTCCCAAATTCTGGCAGGATGAGGGGCTGGGTGCAGGTGAGGGTGACAGGAATCAGTGACACCCATCCCAGAGCTGGAGTGGGACTCACTGAGCTCCACAGGCTTGGAACACTCCCCGGATTTCCTTGGATTGCTGGGCCAGGTCCCCACTGTCCAGGCGCACTCCGATGGCCTGGTATCCCAGCTGGTGCAGTGCCAAGGCCACGGCACAGAAATTGGGCAAACCACTCCTGGCACGGGCAGGGAAAGCGTTAATGACAACTGGGACACAGATCCAAGGTGGATCCAGCATTATTTCCAAGCCCTGTGCCAACCAACATTCCTGCTTCAAGGGCCACCAACGAGGAGGGACAAATCCATCCCCTGTGCCACGGTGGCAAAGTCCTGGAGTCCTCACCTCCTGACACAGTAGGTGTCCAGCAATCCCTGGAAGTCGCAGGGGAAGGTGACAGCGTAGGACACGAAGGCGGCCAGCTCGCCCTGGTTGGCCTTGCCCAGAGGAGTCTGGAGCAGGTCACAAACCCGCTGCAGCCAGGACACGGCCAGGCCTGCCAGATCCACGGGATCTCCTCCGGCCCGAGGCGGCAGCTCCTGCCAGGGGAACGTGAGATTTGTACAGCCTGTGGCATCATCTGAAGTGCCAGGATTTCAGGAATATGGGATTTGCACAGACCATGGCATCATCCGAGATGCCAGGAGTGTTGGGAACATGGGATTTGTACAGCCCGTGGCATCATCCGAGGTGGCAGGAGTTTGGGAACATGGGATTTGCACAGACTATGGCATCATCCGAGGTGGCAGGAGTGTTGGGAGCATGGGATTTGTACAGCCCATGGTATCATCCAAGGTGCCAGGAGTTTGGGAATATGGGATTTGTACAGGCCATGGCATCATCCAAGGTGCCAGGATTTCAGGAACATGGGATTTGTACAGCCCGTGGCATCATCCAAGGTGCCAGGAGTATGGGAGCATGGGATTTGTACAGCCTGTGGCATCATCCGAGGTGCCAGGATTTCAGGAACATGGGATTTGTACAGCCTGTGGCATATCCAAGGTGCCAGGAGTTTGGGAACATGGGATTTGNCACCCAGGTGACATCCCAGCCATGCCAGCAGGTCCCTCACCTCCCTCCTGAACTCCTCCAGGCTCTGCTCGCTGATGTTGTTGCTGACAGCGATGGGGATGGTCCCAAACCAGGGCACCTGGAAGCTGGAAGGATTTGGGAGGATCCATGGATCTACCCGCAGTACCCAGAGCCGTGAGGGCTCCCAAATTCTGGCAGGATGAGGGGCTGGGTGCAGGTGAGGGTGACAGGAATCAGTGACACCCATCCCAGAGCTGGAGTGGGACTCACTGAGCTCCACAGGCTTGGAACACTCCCCGGATTTCCTTGGATTGCTGGGCCAGGTCCCCACTGTCCAGGCGCACTCCGATGGCCTGGTATCCCAGCTGGTGCAGTGCCAAGGCCACGGCACAGAAATTGGGCAAACCACTCCTGGCACGGGCAGGGAAAGCGTTAATGACAACTGGGACACAGATCCAAGGTGGATCCAGCATTATTTCCAAGCCCTGTGCCAACCAACATTCCTGCTTCAAGGGCCACCAACGAGGAGGGACAAATCCATCCCCTGTGCCACGGTGGCAAAGTCCTGGAGTCCTCACCTCCTGACACAGTAGGTGTCCAGCAATCCCTGGAAGTCGCAGGGGAAGGTGACAGCGTAGGACACGAAGGCGGCCAGCTCGCCCTGGTTGGCCTTGCCCAGAGGAGTCTGGAGCAGGTCACAAACCCGCTGCAGCCAGGACACGGCCAGGCCTGCCAGATCCACGGGATCTCCTCCGGCCCGAGGCGGCAGCTCCTGCCAGGGGAACGTGAGATTTGTACAGCCTGTGGCATCATCTGAAGTGCCAGGATTTCAGGAATATGGGATTTGCACAGACCATGGCATCATCCGAGATGCCAGGAGTGTTGGGAACATGGGATTTGTACAGCCCGTGGCATCATCCGAGGTGGCAGGAGTTTGGGAACATGGGATTTGCACAGACTATGGCATCATCCGAGGTGGCAGGAGTGTTGGGAGCATGGGATTTGTACAGCCCATGGTATCATCCAAGGTGCCAGGAGTTTGGGAATATGGGATTTGTACAGGCCATGGCATCATCCAAGGTGCCAGGATTTCAGGAACATGGGATTTGTACAGCCCGTGGCATCATCCAAGGTGCCAGGAGTATGGGAGCATGGGATTTGTACAGCCTGTGGCATCATCCGAGGTGCCAGGATTTCAGGAACATGGGATTTGTACAGCCTGTGGCATATCCAAGGTGCCAGGAGTTTGGGAACATGGGATTTGNAGGTGCCAGGAGTTTGGGAATATGGGATTTGTACAGCCTGTGGCATCATCCAGGGTGCCAGGAGTTTGGGAACAGGTGGAGTGTTCCATTCCCCATCCATCCCGCTCTAATCCCTGTCTGCATTCCCACTCTTATCTAATCCCACATCTTCATCCCAGACCCATCCCACCTTACCCCGATTCCCACCACATCCCTATCCCATCTCCTTCCACTCCTAACTCCGTACAAATCCCATCCCTATCCCACTTCCTTCTGCCCATCCCTATCCCCATCCCAATTCCACCCACATCCCATCTTCATCCACATCCCATCCCCAACCCCGCTCAATCCCCAGCCCTATCCCATCCCAACCCATTCCCATCCCTCTCTACATCCCCAACTCCATGAGATCCCTATCCCATCCCCATCCCACCCCTGTCCTCATCCCACCATTCATCCCCATTCCCATTCCCAGCCCATCCCAGGCCCTGCTCACCCGCGCCTGCACCTCCTCCAGGCACCTGAAGGACATGATGAAGGAGTGGGCGATGGTGCCGCGCACCGGAATTCCGTAGAGTTTTCCCGCCAGGATGTTGCTGGTGCAGTCGAAGCCTGCGAGGGGGGACACCCAGGTGATGGCAGGGCCACGGTGGCACCGGGCACCGTGGGGTGGGACTCACCCCCGATGTAGGAATATTTGGATGCCGACAGGGCTCCGTCCGGCCCCTGCGCGCAGCGGAGCCCCATCTCTATCAGCTTCACGTCCGGGCCGGCGAGGAGACGGAATCTGGCAGCGTTGGTGGCCACCAGGCTGGAGGACAAAGGGGACAGGTCACACACAGCCAGCACAGCCAAGGGGAAGGGGCTCCAGAACCCTCCCTGCTTGGACAACACCGGGATCACCGTGGGATTCAGTAAACAGGTAAATTGACCAAAGGGGACTTTGGGGACAGGGAGATCCTAAAGGACCAGGACATCTCTCAGGAGAACCGGAGGGACATGGAGACCCTTCAGGAGACCACAGGGTGGGCTGGACATGGAAAGCCCTCAGGAAAACTTAGGAACAGTGGAACACCCTCCAGTAGTTAAATTCAACTTGTAGAATTTCAGCAGTTAAATTCCGGTAGGGAACTCGTGGGGTGTCCCCAGCCTCCCATCTCCCTTTGGATTGGGGGGTGCTGCACTCCCTTCCCTGCCTCTCTCCATCTTCCAGGGGCTTTGGCATCATCCCCATCACAAAATACCTGGCGTAGTTGACCAGGCACAGCAAGGTGGTCTCCAGCAGCTGCACCACCAGGAGCGGCCCCTTCACCTGCAGGAACGGCACCTGCAGGAACAGAAGCGACATCCCAGTCCCTCTGGAGCAGGGAGGAGCTGGGAAAGGCAGGAATGAGGGTCCAGGGGATCCCAGAGTCAAGGAGAAGACAAGGCTTGGGCCTGGGAGAGGTGGGATGGTCAGGAAAGGGGTTGCAGGGGGATGTTGGGGAAGGAAAAGGGGGGACAAGGGGATTGCAGTGCCAGGGAAGGGGGTGCAGGGGGATCCTATTGCCCAGGAATGAGGGTCCAGATTGTCCCTGCGCCCAGGAAAGGGATTCCAGGGGTTCCCAGTGTGAAGGAAAAGGGGGTCATGGGGTGGAGACACCCAGGATGGGGTTTCAAGGGGTCCATGGTATTGAGGAAAGGGGGAGGGAGGGGCTGGGGAGGTGGGAAGGTGGGAACGGGGGTCCAGGAGCTCCCAGGGTCAGGGAAAAGGGGGGGGCACTAGGAAAGGCAGGATTGGAATTCCAGGGGATCCCAGGTTCAAGGAAAAAGGGAGGTCTGGGAGCTGGGATGGTCGGGAAAGACGATGGAGGGGGGGGCCCCACCCTGGCAAAGACGACGGAGCCCTCGGGAATGGCGCTGACGGTCACCTCGGAGGCGTCCAGGGTGGCCAGGTAGTCAAAGAAGGCATCGTCTATGGTGCTGGGCAGGACAGAGCGCAGGTACGCCACGTCTGTGGGGACAGCCAGGGACAAGGGACTCGCGGGGAGGTGGGGGGGACACCAAACCTCCCATGGACAGGTGAGTGACAGCAGGTGAGTGACAGCACCCCCAGCACGGAGCACGACAGGGTGGGGTGGCCGCAGTCCCCTCTGAGGGACATCTCCGGAGGGTGTCCCAGTGTCACCCCAAGTTTCCCTGAGGGTTCTTTGTGTCCACCCGTGTCCCCTGCAGGGTCTCCCTAAGTTCATCCGAGAGATGTCCCTGTCCCTTTGAGTTGTCCTGATGCCCCGCAGTCCCCCTCAAATGCTGTCCCCTCTGCCCCACCGCAGTCCCCCAGGTCCCATCGCTGTCCCCCTCAAGTCCTCTTGAGGGATTCCCGTCCTCCCCAGGTCCCCCTGGGGTGTTTCCCATCCCCAGATCCCTCTGAGAGATGTCTCTGCCCCGTTAAGTCCTCCTGGATGCTGTCCCATCCCTTCCAAGTCTCCTTGAGTTGTTCCCCCATCCTCCTCCGGGAGGAATTTCCCCCCTTCCCCCGCGTCCCTCCCACCGCTCCCCCGCTGTCCCTTCCTCACCCTCTGCCCTTTCCCCTCCTGTCCCCTGGACTTGTTCCAAAGCCTCCCTGGGAAGGTTCTCCCACCACCGCTCCCCACCGCGTTTCTCCCGTCCCTTCATCCTCCCCTCGAGTTGTTCCCCCTTCCCTCCCCCTTCACCCTTCCCCACCACGCTTCTCCCGTCCCATCCTCATCCTCCCCTCGAATTGTTACCCCTTCCCTCCCCTTTCACCCTTCCCCACCACGCTCCTCCCGTCCCATCCTCATCCTCCCCTCGGTCCCCTCGAGTTGTTCCCCCTTCCCTCCCCTTCACCCTTCCCCACGCTTCTCCCGTCCCATCCTCGTCCTCCCCTCGAGTTGTTCCCCCTTCTTCCCTTCACCCTTCCCCACGCTCCTCCCGTCCCTTCATCCTCCCCTCGAATTGTTCACCCTTCCCTCCCCTTCACCCTTCCCCACCACGCTTCTCCCGTCCCTTCCTCATCCTCTCCTCGAGTTGTTCCCCCTTCTTCCCTCCCCTTTCACCCTTCCCCACCACGCTCCTCCCGTCCCATCCTCATCCTCTCCCCTGTCCCACCCTGCGCCCTTGTCCCTCCAAGTCCCACTGGGACAGTCGCCTCCAACCCTCTCTCTTTCCCCCCGTGTCCCGCGCTGTCCCCACGCACCGGCAGCGGAGAAGCGGAAGGCTCGGAGCCCCCGCAGCCCCTCGGCCAGGCCGGCTCCGAGCGCGAAGGAGCCGCGGAAGGGCGGGCGGCGGAAGAAGAGCTCGGCGGCGGCCGGGGCTCGGTGCCGCCCGGCCCGCCAGTGCCCGTAGGCCATGGACACCTGGTACAGGTCCGCCAGCGGCGCCATGGCGGGGCGGGGACAAGGGGACAGGGGTGGGGACACGGGGAGGAGCGGGGGGAATGAGAGGAGGGATACGGAAGAGATACGGGGTTGGGGGCACGCGGGGATGGCNAGGTGCCAGGAGTTTGGGAATATGGGATTTGTACAGCCTGTGGCATCATCCAGGGTGCCAGGAGTTTGGGAACAGGTGGAGTGTTCCATTCCCCATCCATCCCGCTCTAATCCCTGTCTGCATTCCCACTCTTATCTAATCCCACATCTTCATCCCAGACCCATCCCACCTTACCCCGATTCCCACCACATCCCTATCCCATCTCCTTCCACTCCTAACTCCGTACAAATCCCATCCCTATCCCACTTCCTTCTGCCCATCCCTATCCCCATCCCAATTCCACCCACATCCCATCTTCATCCACATCCCATCCCCAACCCCGCTCAATCCCCAGCCCTATCCCATCCCAACCCATTCCCATCCCTCTCTACATCCCCAACTCCATGAGATCCCTATCCCATCCCCATCCCACCCCTGTCCTCATCCCACCATTCATCCCCATTCCCATTCCCAGCCCATCCCAGGCCCTGCTCACCCGCGCCTGCACCTCCTCCAGGCACCTGAAGGACATGATGAAGGAGTGGGCGATGGTGCCGCGCACCGGAATTCCGTAGAGTTTTCCCGCCAGGATGTTGCTGGTGCAGTCGAAGCCTGCGAGGGGGGACACCCAGGTGATGGCAGGGCCACGGTGGCACCGGGCACCGTGGGGTGGGACTCACCCCCGATGTAGGAATATTTGGATGCCGACAGGGCTCCGTCCGGCCCCTGCGCGCAGCGGAGCCCCATCTCTATCAGCTTCACGTCCGGGCCGGCGAGGAGACGGAATCTGGCAGCGTTGGTGGCCACCAGGCTGGAGGACAAAGGGGACAGGTCACACACAGCCAGCACAGCCAAGGGGAAGGGGCTCCAGAACCCTCCCTGCTTGGACAACACCGGGATCACCGTGGGATTCAGTAAACAGGTAAATTGACCAAAGGGGACTTTGGGGACAGGGAGATCCTAAAGGACCAGGACATCTCTCAGGAGAACCTGAGGGACATGGAGACCCTTCAGGAGACCACAGGGTGGGCTGGACATGGAAAGCCCTCAGGAAAACTTAGGAACAGTGGAACACCCTCCAGTAGTTAAATTCAACTTGTAGAATTTCAGCAGTTAAATTCCGGTAGGGAACTTGTGGGGTGTTCCCAGCCTCCCATCTCCCTTTGGATTGGGGGGTGCTGCACTCCCTTCCCTGCCTGTCTCCATCTTCCAGGGGCTTTGGCATCATCCCCATCACAAAATACCTGGCGTAGTTGACCAGGCACAGCAAGGTGGTCTCCAGCAGCTGCACCACCAGGAGCGGCCCCTTCACCTGCAGGAACGGCACCTGCAGGAACAGAAGCGACATCCCAGTCCCTCTGGAGCAGGGAGGAGCTGGGAAAGGCAGGAATGAGGGTCCAGGGGATCCCAGAGTCAAGGAGAAGACAAGGCTTGGGCCTGGGAGAGGTGGGATGGTCAGGAAAGGGGTTGCAGGGGGATGTTGGGGAAGGAAAAGGGGGGACAAGGGGATTGCAGTGCCAGGGAAGGGGGTGCAGGGGGATCCTATTGCCCAGGAATGAGGGTCCAGATTGTCCCTGCGCCCAGGAAAGGGATTCCAGGGGTTCCCAGTGTGAAGGAAAAGGGGGTCATGGGGTGGAGACACCCAGGATGGGGTTTCAAGGGGTCCATGGTGCTGAGGAAAGGGGGAGGGAGGGGCTGGGGAGGTGGGAAGGTGGGAACGGGGGTCCAGGAGCTCCCAGGGTCAGGGAAAAGGGGGAGCACTAGGAAAGGCAGGATTGGAATTCCAGGGGATCCCAGGTTCAAGGAAAAAGGGAGGTCTGGGAGCTGGGATGGTCGGGAAAGACGATGGAGGGGGGGCCCCACCCTGGCAAAGACGACGGAGCCCTCGGGAATGGCGCTGACGGTCACCTCGGAGGCGTCCAGGGTGGCCAGGTAGTCAAAGAAGGCATCGTCTATGGTGCTGGGCAGGACAGAGCGCAGGTACGCCACGTCTGTGGGGACAGCCAGGGACAAGGGACTCGCGGGGAGGTGGGGGGGACACCAAACCTCCCATGGACAGGTGAGTGACAGCAGGTGAGTGACAGCACCCCCAGCACGGAGCACGACAGGGTGGGGTGGCCGCAGTCCCCTCTGAGGGACATCTCCGGAGGGTGTCCCAGTGTCACCCCAAGTTTCCCTGAGGGTTCTTTGTGTCCACCCGTGTCCCCTGCAGGGTCTCCCTAAGTTCATCCGAGAGATGTCCCTGTCCCTTTGAGTTGTCCTGATGCCCCGCAGTCCCCCTCAAATGCTGTCCCCTCTGCCCCACCGCAGTCCCCCAGGTCCCATCGCTGTCCCCCTCAAGTCCTCTTGAGGGATTCCCGTCCTCCCCAGGTCCCCCTGGGGTGTTTCCCATCCCCAGATCCCTCTGAGAGATGTCTCTGCCCCGCTAAGTCCTCCTGGATGCTGTCCCATCCCTTCCAAGTCTCCTTGAGTTGTTCCCCCACCCTCCTCCGGGAGGAATTTCCCCCCTTCCCCCGCGTCCCTCCCACCGCTCCCCCTTCCTCATCCTCTGCCCTTTCCCCTCCTGTCCCCTGGACTTGTTCCAAAGCCTCCCTGGGAAGGTTCTCCCACCACCGCTCCCCACCACGCTTCTCCCGTCCCATCCTCATCCTCCCCTCGGTCCCCTCGAGTTGTTCCCCCTTCCCTCCCCTTCACCCTTCCCCACCACGCTCCTCCCGTCCCTTCCTCATCCTCCCCTCGAGTTGTTTCCCCTTCCCTCCCCTTCACCCTTCCCCACCACGCTCCTCCCGTCCCATCCTCATCCTCCCCTCGAGTTGTTCCCCCTTCCCTCCCCTTCACCCTTCCCCACCACGCTTCTCCCGTCCCATCCTCATCCTCCCCTCGAGTTGTTCCTCCTTCTTCCCTCCCCTTCACCCTTCCCCACCACGCTCCTCCCGTCCCATCCTCATCCTCCCCTCGAGTTGTTCCCCCTTCTTCCCGTCACCCTTCCCCACCACGCTCCTCCCGTCCCATCCTCATCCTCCCCTCGAGTTGTTCACCCTTCCCTCCCCTTCACCCTTCCCCACCACGCTCCTCCCGTCCCATCCTCATCCTCCCCTCCGTCCCCTCGAGTTGTTCCCCCTTCCCTCCCCTTCACCCTTCCCCACCACGCTCCTCCCGTCCCTTCCTCATCCTCTCCCCTGTCGCACCCTGCGCCCTTGTCCCTCCAAGTCCCACTGGGACAGTCCCCTCCAACCCTCTCTTTTTCCCCCGCGTCCCGCGCTGTCCCCACGCACCGGCAGCGGAGAAGCGGAAGGCTCGGAGCCCCCGCAGCCCCTCGGCCAGGCCGGCTCCGAGCGCGAAGGAGCCGCGGAAGGGCGGGCGGCGGAAGAAGAGCTCGGCGGCGGCCGGGGCTCGGTGCCGCCCGGCCCGCCAGTGCCCGTAGGCCATGGACACCTGGTACAGGTCCGCCAGCGGCGCCATGGCGGGGCGGGGACAAGGGGACAGGGGTGGGGACACGGGGAGGAGCGGGGGGAATGAGAGGAGGGATACGGAAGAGATACGGGGTTGGGGGCACGCGGGGATGGCAGCACCAGGGGGACACGGGGATGGTGACATGGGGACAAGGGGATGGCAGCACCAGGGGGACACGGGGATGGTGACACGGGGACAAGGGGATGGCGACACGGGCACAAGGGGATGGCAGCACCAGGGGGACACGGGGATGGCGACACGGGGACAGCGGGGATGGCAGCACCAGGGGGACACGGGGATGGCGACACGGGGACAGCGGGGATGGCAGCACCAGGGGGACGCGGGGATGGCAGCACGGGGACACGGGGATGGTGACACGGGCACAAGGGGATGGCAGCACCAGGGGGACACGGGGATGGTGACACGGGNGGGGACACGGGGATGGTGACACGGGCACAAGGGGATGGCAGCACCAGGGGGACACGGGGATGGTGACACGGGGACAGCAGGGATGGCAGCACAAGGAGGACACGGGGATGCCAGCACAAGGGGGGACACGGGGACAGCAGGGATGGCAGCACCAGGGTGAGTGGGGATGGCTGAACGAGGGGGACATGGGGATGGCGGGGATGACAGTGGGGGTGGCAGCACAAGGGGGACACGGGGCAGGGTTGGTGACACAGCTGGACACGCAGGTTGGCAGCGCACAGTGGACATGTGGCACAGGGATGGCAGCACCAGGGGGACACGGGGATGGTGACACGGGGACAGCAGGGATGGCAGAACTAGGGGGACACGGGGATGGTGACACGGGGACAGCAGGGATGGCAGCAGAGGGAGGATCCAGGGGCAGTGGAACAGACACGGGAGACAATGGGGAAAGTCCACCAGGGATGGCAGCACATGGGTGACACTGGGATGGTGACAGAGGCAGGACACTGGGCACAGGGGATGGCAGCACACGNGGGGATGGCGACACGGGGACAAGGGGATGGTGACACGGGGACAAGGGGATGGCAGCACCAGGGGGACACGGGGATGGTGACACGGGGACAAGGGGACAGGGGTGGGGACACGGGGAGGAGCGGGGGGAATGAGAGGAGGGATACGGAAGAGATACGGGGTTGGGGGCACGCGGGATGGCGACGCGGGGACACGGGGATGGTGACACGGGGACAGGGGGGATGGCAGCACTAGGGGGACACGGGGATGGTGACACGGGGACACGGGGATGGCAGCACCAGGGGGACACGGGGATGGCGACACGGGGACAGCAGGGATGGCAGCACAAGGGGGACACGGGGACAGGGGGGATGGCAGCACCAGGGGGACACGGGGATGGCAGCACCAGGGGGACACGGGGCAGGGTTGGTGACACAGCTGGACACGCAGTGCACAAGTGGAAATGTGGCACAGGGATAGCAGCACAAGGGTGACGAGGGGACAGCAGGGATGGCAGCACAAAGGGGACACGGGGATGGTGACACGGAGATGGCAGCATAAGGGGGACACGGGGCAGGGTTAGTGACACAGCTGGACACGTGGGGTGGCAGCGCACAAGTGGAAATGTGGCACAGGGATGGCAGCACCAGGGGGACATGGGGATGGTGGGGATGGCGACACGGGGACAGCGGGGATGCCAGCACAATGGGGGACACAGGGACAGCAGGAATGGCAGCACAATGGGGGACACGGGGACAGCAGGGATGGCAGCACCAGGGTGACATGGGGATGGCAGAACGAGGGGGACATGGGGATGACGACACGGGGACAGTGGGGGTGGCAGCACAAGGGGGACACGGGGCAGGGTTGGTGACACAGCTGGACACGCAGGGTGGCAGCGCACAGTGGACATGTGGCACAGGGATGGCAGCACCAGGGGGACATGGGGATGGTGGGGATGGCGACACGGGGACAGCGGGGATGGCAGAACTAGGGGGACACGGGGATGGTGACACGGGGACAGCGGGGATGGCAGAACTAGGGGGACACGGGGATGGCGACACGGGGACAGCGGGGATGGCAGCAGAGGGAGGATCCAGGCGCAGTGGGACAGACACGGGGGACAATGGGGAAAGTCCACCAGGGATGGCAGCACATGGGTGACACTGGGATGGTGACAGAGGCAGGACACTGGGCACAGGGGATGGCAGCACACGGAGGACACGGCACAGGGATGGTGGCCTATGGGCACATGGCAGGAATGGGACACAGAAGGCACACGTGGCAACACCTGGAGCAGCGGGGACTCGGGATGGCAGCGCAGGGGACAAGGGGCACCGCCAGCAGCGCTCTGGGGGTGGCAGGACCCTGAGGGACACGTGTCACGGATCAAGTGACTGGCCCCACCGGGACAGGCTTGCAGCACAACCCCATGGAGCTTCCCGAGTCCCTTGGTGGCCCCAGACCTTGGACTCTGGCGCTGGGACAGACCTCGTGTTCCCAAAGCCAGGAATGTCACACGTCCCCTCACAGCACAGTCCCGTGGAGCTCCTCCCGTGTCCCTTGGTGGCCCCAGACCTTGGACTCTGGCGCTGGGACAGACCTCATGTTCCCAAACTCAGGAATGTCACCTGTGCTCTCTTCCCCAGCCCACGCTCAGCTAAAGGGGCCTGGGCAGGGAGGCAGTGGGAAAAGAGGGATGAAATCCATCCCAAACCAGCAATTCCTGGATGCTTCCTGGTTATTCATCCTGGTTTACTGCAGGGAGTGACTGGGGTCTCTAAAACTTGGGAAAGGTGACTGGAAACATCCTGAGACCTTCATTCCAGCCCCAAAATTCAGGTCCACCTCTTGAGATCTTTCCATCCATGAAAGATGGGGAAATCATGGAATGGTTTACACTGGAAGAAACCTTAAATATCTCTCATTCCAATCCTTCCACTAGCCCAGGTTGTTCCAATATCCCAAAATCTCCCATCAAATCCCCCTGGAGAAGCTGCACCCAAGGGAAAAAACCCAACTCCCAGCACACTCCCAATGTTCAACTTTATTAATTCCAGGTTCAGATGAGGGGGATACAGTTTTCCCTTCTAAATCTTGTTAAAAGCAGCAATATCCACGCTCTGCACCTGGAAGGGGACAAAAGCTGGAGTCATCCAGGTGTTCCCAGGAAAACACACCTGAGTTAACCACCCCCTCCCATGGGTTCCAGGCCCTTCCCACATCCCATTCCAAGACTTACGTAGTCCTCAAACTTGGTGATCTCCTCCTCCAGGATGTCTGTCCCAACTTTCTCGTCCTCCACCACGCACTGGATTTGGAGTTTCTTGATGCCGTATCCGACTGGGACCAGTTTGGAGGCTCCCCACACCAACCCGTCCATGTGGATGGACCGGACACACTCCTCCATCTTGGCCATGTCAGTCTCGTCGTCCCACTGGAAAAATGGGAATTGGGAGGTTTTGGTGTTTACCTGGAGATCATCATCTAAGGGGTATCCAGGTGACATCTCTGGGAATGTCACAACTGATCCAACAACTGATCCAAAGTGCCCTTTTTTGGCTGGAGAAGGCTCCAGAAGACCTCAGAGCCCCTTCCAGTGCCTCGAGGAGATCCAAGAAAGCTGGAGAGGGACTTTGGACAAGGATGGAGTGACAGGACAAGGGGGAATGGTTTTAAACTGGAATAGGGTAAGATTAGATGGGATATTGGGTGGTGAGGCCCTGGAATGGAATTCCCAGAGAAG